AAACTTTAAAGTTTATATGTTATTTTCTCTATCCTATCTCAAAAAAAAATTGTAACATGAAACTACATTTTTATTATAATATTATTATTTATTTATTTTACCTAATCTAATGTTAACTAACTTAAAAGGATCCTTATTTTTACATTTTAGTTACTTTTATAAGTATACATGAAGAATGACCATGAAAAACAAGAAATAAATACTTAATCAATCTTCTTTTTTCTTGTTGTCAATTGTCGAGGAGAGTTAACCCTAATTTTTTTTATACTAATGGTAGTAATGCACTTAATAATTTTTATTTAATTAAATAATGCACCAAAGAATATAACATGAAAAAAGTAGACAAATTCCCTTACCTCTCAAAATTTTTCTGGCTTTCTAACTATACGACAAAAGCCTTTACAAATTCATCTAAGCTAGTTATTAACTTTCTCATGGAAACAATATTGGTACTCTGAGTGAAATTGACCTTTAAGTGTTCAGAACATAACATTATACAATACATCATTTGATAGATGGAAAACCTTGATTTTCTACTTGTTATAGGTAATATATAATTAAATGTAAGAGAGAACTATCAATGAATTCTGAAAGAGAGGATGTGACAGGATGGATCTGATTTTCTATTTGATAGCTCTGTAACCAATCAAAATTGAAGACTAAAAATTATGGTTTATCTGAGCAATAATGATTTTATAGAGAGTAGTGTTACATTTAATTTCATACTCTTTTGAGGGGTGGTGGATAAAATAGGGATGATGACATGCTAAGATAAAACTGCCTTCTATTGGCACAAATTTTTAGCACTTGTTACTAGCCTTCCACCTCCCGCTTCTGCAAATCCACATGTAAATGATATGTAGAAGCTCTCCACTAATAGGAGTGCGACATAACCTGTATCATAACCAACATCCTCTCCACATTTGCACTTATTAATCACTTCTTGAGTGGCAGTAGTACTGTACAGAAGTGCTTGTTTTGGCTCGCAAATTTTTTGGTGTTTTACTTTATACTACAGACTTAGTTTTTCTTTACTGTTTTTGTTATTTATTTACTGGAGCCTTTTTGCTAGTGTATTGTGGATCCCAGTTATTGGTTGTGTGTCTCCGTTTAATTGTCACTTATGTTACGCATACCATAGAGATGGGTTGTTCCGTAGGACCATTCGTAGTTCTCTCTAGTGGTATTTTGCTTCATAAATATGTTCGACCCATACTGTATGCTCGTGGATACACATGAGTAAAGAAGACGGGTATTGCTGCCCATCTCTGATGCTCCATGGCATTGAGACTGTTCCTACTGCTGACCTGACATACATTTTTAGATGCCTCTGGTTGTTGGTTGATTGACTCCATTGATGTAGTATCTGCTTTTCAAAGTATGGTATCATGGTCACCCATTGCACTGTCTTCAATGATGCAGTCCTCTGGACTGTCCAATGCATTTTTCTCTCCTTTCTTCTAGTGGAGTATGGGAGTCCTTGCCACTTACCAGTTTCTAGACACTGGGGTGGTGGACTATGGAGGCCTGTTTTCCTGAGTGATGCATCATACCACTCAGTTGAGAGTAGGGCGATGGCATTCTGCTAGTGTCGATGGTGAATAGCACTTCCTACCTCGGACATGATGTATAATTCCTGATGCTGCCAGGTTTTGGTTGTAGCACTATGCTATATTAATATATATATTTTACCAATTGCTTTTTCCCCCATGGCATTCTTCCTCCCTACCATCCTCCAGATGTACATTCCCGATGGGTCTGGTGTTGGTTGGAGATGGCCCGGTGACAATTAGAATCGTGTTGATAGCATGATGACCTTCCTACCCTGGACCTGATGTACAATTCCAGATACTGCTAAGTTTCCTCCTACTTATCAACCTCTGGATGCAGTTCCCAGGGGGAGGGGGGTCAGGTGTTGGTTGGAGATGGTCCAGCTAAGTAAGTCCCCACATGTGTACTGACTGGTATCTTTCCTCCTACCACAGACTGGATGAAAAATGCCCAATGCCCCCAGGTTTCGGACTGGAGATGCACCCCAGGTTTGCGGTCCCTCTTCCTACTGTCTGTTGGATCTCAGTTCCTGGTGGCTTTGGTGTTGGTTGTAGCTGGATGCAGCACATGTATTTCAATTTGTGTATGGCGGGGTGTCCTCTTCATACTGAGGACTGGAAAAACCATATCCAATGCCACCAGGTTTTGGACCGGAAATGTTATCCCACTGGGGCTTTTCTCCTTTCTACCATCTGCTGGACATTGGTTCTTGGTGGATTAAGTGTTAGTTGGGTTGGAAATGCACGCAAGTAGTGACAAATTTTGGTACAAAAGCTTGTCTTCCCTACCAATATACTCTTCGCTCTTTTATGACTGTGTCATGAACATAAATGACAAAAATACATGAAGGAATCCTATAATACACATTACCAATTAATGGGACCCCTGAAAGTTGACTGGCTGGGGTGTGACAGACCGTAGTGGTAGTGCAACCTCATCCAACACCTGGCAGTACCTGGAAGGGTACATCAGATCTGCAGTAGGCAGAGGATCACCTAACTCTTCACCTCCAAATAGGTACCTGGATCAGATGTGGTGCAGTTTCCTGCTGAAGTGTGATATTTTCTTTTTGGGTTCCACACCTCATAGACCCTATTTTGGTACTTCCTAAAGGCAAATCACTTTTTCACCGACCCTCCACCAGTTCAGTGTTTGATTCTAGCTATTTTATCAGTGGAGGTAAAATATCGTATCAGAAGTTAACATTAAACTGAAAATGTATTTCTGATATATATATTTACCTCCTCTCACATTTCCAACCCAGCCTCCCCACTTCCAGTGATATGTGGTGTGGGTCTTCTGACCAATCTTGAAGTGATTAACGAGTGAAATGTGGAGGGGAGCTGGTTATGATAGGGCTTGTGTTGTGCTCCTATTGGTGGGGAGCTGCTGCGTAATCATTTACATGTTGATATGCAGAAGCAGGAGGTTAAAAGGTTACTGGCGAGCGTTAAAAGATTGTGCCAGTAGAGGGCAGTACTAATCAAGAAAATTATTGTGAGGGGAGGTAAGTATCTATTTGAAATACATTTTCTGTTTAGGAAAATGTTAACTTGTGTGTGTTACACTCAATTCTTCAGATGTCTTAGATTGCTGCTTATTCTTTCTGTTAGCTTCTGAAGAACAGTACAATGTGATTAAAAAGTTGCGCATTAATTCTTCTCAAGAAAATATGAAAACACAGTATTGAAAAATAAAACTGGGTGAAACTGGTCATATGGTGGAAAAAATTAAATATTTTTGAAAAAATTTCAAAATGTACTACAGTATATTCTTGCTTTTGGTAACTGTAGTTGCTAACAGAAGCATTGTTAGGCATTGGCAAATGGGGATGGTGCCCAAATCCCCAGTTAGAATCTTGCAAAATGATAATAGAAAACCATGATCAATGTCATACTGAAATGCCGAAAATTCCCACAATTATAGACCTGAAGCCCAAATCTTTTAAGCATCTATGGTTTTTTTATGATTACAAATTTTAAGACTACTTTATCATTGCAGTGCAAGTATGTTTCAGTCATTTATATAGTAAATTTCTATAGCCTGTACAGCTAAGATTCTGCTACTAGTCAACACTTGGCTTTTGCTCAGGAAATAGTATAAAAATATGGAATATTCTCAAATTTATTGAATGAAATTAATTTTATTGCTATGTGCACTTTCAAAAAAAGTATTGGTTAATAGAAAAAATAAATTAGTATAGTTTTATTTTATGGTAAAATTATATAATAAAATGTGTCTCTTGAAAGTTTAATAAACAAGTTTAATTTTTAAATATGTATTTTTAATTTATTTTTAGCTGGTTCTTATGCAACGCCAGTAGGACCCCCAATTCCTTATGGTGCTGTGAGTATAAACACGCTAATAACTTTTTATGTGCATTTAAAAATTTTTGTAAGTTATAAAAATTGTTGTCTTTTTAATTTCTAGATTGAGAAATTTAAAATTATTTATGGTATCTAAATATATGGGCATATGTTTGAGTGGAGAATATTAGTGGAAACAACATAAGTTCCTGGCTGAAGTTGTCTGGTGAATCTTAGAGTAAGTTGTAAAATATTGTTTAATAGTTTTAACTATGTTTATATTATTCTTATTAGAAATCATAGTCAGTCTGTGATTTCACAGCATGGAAACTAAACTAAACTAAACTAGAAATAGACAATATTGGATTGTTTTGTTGCAGAAGTGTCACAAAGGTTTGTGTAATTAAACCTCACACACTTTGGCTTTTTTGTATTTTGCCCTAAGAATTGAGATTTGGGGTTGATATAACTGTTTAAAATATTAGAATAAAAACTTGCTCCATGGGGAAATGGTTTTGACAATTTTGCAAGGTCTCAAATTTTAAGTGAAATTCACCATCACATCCTAGAAGGGGATAAGTCAGTGAGTTCATGTGATTAGTACTTTGAGTTTTAATTTGAAGCTGTAGTACTCATGATTATTTGTCATTTCTGAATTAGCCCTAATTTCACACAAAGGTTAAGTATTTAAAATTTTCAAATACATGGAAAATTGCATGTATTAGATTAACATATTTGGATACCAAAGATAAAATTTGAACAAAATGAAAGTGATATTTTGATATTTTAAATGAATATTTGCCTATTTGTTATTTTTTGAAGAGATTTGTTGAAACTAATGTTTTCTTAATTTTGATTTTTCAGTCAGCAAAAATATCATTAAGATATTTAGAAATAATGTTTATATTGTTGGCTACAGAGTGTTTTAGAATTGATGTGATGTAATGAGCATGTAGAATCTCAAATATTTAGAGTGTGTTGTTGTGTTAGTTCCTATCCCAGTTAAGTCTGGTTGCATTAGAAATAGGAAAAATGTTGTTTGTGAAAAATAAACAATAACAAATGGAAAACACAGTAAATTTATTTTGAAATGATGACAATGTTTCATACCAAGGCCTTTTATCGGGTAGTGCCTAAAATTGTTATAAAAACTAAATGAGGAACAGATTATAATTGCAAAACAGAATCAAGAAATGGAACATATACATTGCATCATGTTGGTATACATTAATTGCTAAAAAACAATGTTGCCTGGATGAAAAATTGCAACAAGGTAATATGAAATAAGGAAAATAAAATGCAGCAAAATTTCCTTTTTACAGGTACTATACTACTGGTTAAAAACGAGAGAGAAAGAAATTAGAGAATATAGGAAGCAGGTGTAAAATTTATGACACAGCAAATGACCATAAAAAAAACAATTAGTCATAAGGAAATATTAAATGAAAGAAAGTTTTCTGTGTAATCCAAATAGGAAAGAGTTCTTAGGATACAAGTGAGGTGCTGTTCCTCATGTGAATGTGGGAAATATTCTGCTGGAGGAGCCCTTAAGGCAGTTAGTTTAAGATATAAAAGATCTTGTTTGTCATCTCAAAAATATCAGGAGACTGACTCATCAATATTACCACTAATAATATGTGTTGTGTATTCATGAAATTTTTCACAAAATATAGATCTGAAATGCTATTTTTACACACTGCTGATTTTAAATCCCGAAATGATCAAATTAAGAATAATGTGAAAAAACATTTTCATTTTGTGTGATTTTTATCACAAATTTTAGACCTGTTGGCTTCTAATGCTTTACTAGCCTTTGGCATTCAATAATCTTTAATTTTTGAAGTATTATATTTGTCATATGTTATATGTTTCATGAAATCTTTTGTCTCTTATCTTTCAATCCATCTGATGAGTTCTGGTACCATTAAAAAAGTGTGTTAATAATATTTAATATATATTAATTTCTTCTTGTTTTAGACAAGTCAGCACCAGTGTGCTTTACAAATTGACTAAAGTATTTTATAAAAAAAATTCTGAATTAACTTACTAGCTTTTTTTCTTCTGAAGTGCTTTGAAAGAAAGAGAGCTGGAAGCTCATGCAATAATCCAGTAAAATGGTTTGTTTTCCAACATTTATTGTGAATATTTATGTAATGGTGTAACATGCTGTTACACATGGACAAGTAAACCGACTAAACTGAACACAGGAAAATACCGAGTAGTTTTTGTAAGGCTTTTTCATGTCACATTTAATTAAAATATGTCTGGAATAGTATGTAAAATCTATGGTTTTTAGAGAAAATGTAAATAACCAAGTTTGGTTTAGCAATGTGAAATAACAAATTTCAGAATTCATTTACACATATTACACATACAGTTGTGTATTTACACTTAATTTTCATTTAACTCAAGACATTAATTACGAGATGAAGTAAAATTTATTTTTAAAATTAAATATTTGAAGATTATCACATGACTGAGAGCCTGAGTGATAAGAAAAAATGTACTTGAAAACACTGAACTATTTTTATGTTGAAAAAAAAAGCTATTTAATAAAAAGAGAATACTATTAGGAAAAAAAAATCTGGCACATATAGTTATATAAAAAACATTTCTTAACTGATTACAACATTATTGTAGTTTGACAATGAAAAGAAAAAACAAATATTTGACTTAAATTTAAATAAAAGTTGTGACTGTATTTGAAAAATGATCCTGTTCCTTATGTGTGCATGTACTTTTGTTTGTAAAATGAAAAGCCATTTCTGAGTAGGATAACTGAGATATATACTCAATGTGCCTTAAATCAAACTAAGTGTAAACATTATTAATTTTTTTTATTCTTTTGAAAAAAGTTGATTAATTGTGTGTAATTACTTGGGTGTTTGAGAAGTAGTGTTATGAATAATTAAACTTAAGAGCATATATGTGTGATATTGAAGTGCATGTACATGTTTATATTAATGAAAGTTGTAAATTTTAGGATTTCATTGAGCTCAAATATTTCTCTGGTTTTTGAATTTTCTCCATTATGAAAAAAAAACAGTATGAGTATATTTTCTCAGTTTCAGTATAAGAAGTTAAGAAAAGGCATTTTCAAGCAAACATAAAATATCAAGGAAAGTATAAAATGTGTTTTGATTTCAGAGATTTTTTTCTGATTCAATATCTAACCCCTCTCAAAAGTAGCTTTTTTCGACTTTGCCATCTATGTGTGCAAATTTTCATTCGCCACTAGCCTTGATACTCTCACCTACATTCATGTTGTTGTGCAAATGATCATGTAGCAATCCTCCACCAATAGGAGTGCAATACAACTCCTGTCGTCACTAGCGCCCTCTCTTCCATACAGCCCGAAATCACTTCTTGATTGGCAGTCTTACAGTTCAGATGTGTTTCACTTCCATTTTTAGACCGATTTTGTTCACTTACAGTTGTTGTTTTTTCAATCAGGTATTTTTTTAAACCATATTTTTAAAAATTTCTACAAAATGAGAGTTTTTTTTTGGAGATAAAATTCTTTTTTTCCAGTCATCTTTACCCATCATGCACTTACAATTCCACATGGCACCTACCACAGCTGCTGTAACTACTACAGTTAATTTGCCTGCCACTTCAATGACATCTGAGCAAGCTTTAACTGTTCAGGAAGTAATGGCTTTAGTTCATAAGCAGTTGGCTACCTTTATGCGGTCATCTGAGTCACCTCTTGATTGTTCTGTCTTACTATGTGAGGGTTTGTTTGCACATGACAATAAGAATTTGGACAGCTTATTTCCTGCTCCTGCCTATGCTTTACAGTCACATTTTGTTTCAGGGGAGGTGCCCAGACCTCCATCCCCATTAATAGACTTAATCAATCAGGTATGTTATGTTTTATCCTTATCTCCTGTTTCCTGTGATTCTGCTACCTGCCTTTCTGAGTGAAGAGCCGTTGAGTCAGTATTTAGTGTTTCCACCTTCTACGGATATTGGGCTTTGAGCGAGTCGTTTTGGGAATCAGTTGCATTCGGTTGTCAGTATGCCTTGTCCTCTGCATACTCTGGGTAATATTCTCGCACATGTCTTCATTCAGTATTTCCTTCCTTAGACTTGCAGCACTTGGAATTGATTACTACTTTGTGGGTATTGGATCCTAATACTTTGGTTTCCTTTTCCCAGCCCCAGTTTTAATGTTTCTCTCCCTCCTGTTCCTGAGGGGTTTTTGTTGGACCAGTGGAGCCTTGTTCTGGATCCCTTGGATGCCCCTCTCATCCTTCCTCTTTCCTTACAGAGCGACTTTGCCTGGTGGTCAGATCAAGATGACGACAATATACGTGATCCTCATTCTTATCTGGAATGTCACCTCTTTACAAATGCTTCTCATTGCAGTTGGGGTGCCTATATGGACACTCGGGAGGTTTAGGAGAGGTGGTTTTTCCATATTAATCTCTTGGACATCCTCACCATTTATTGGGTTTTTGGTCACTTTTTCCATCCCTTTAGGGCTGGTTGCTGATAGTGCATTCCAACAACTCAACTATGGTTTTGTACATCTCCAGGCATGGGGCACTTGGCCGAGAGACATCTGTTTTCAAACACTGAACCTCCTGTTTTGGGCCCACAGTCATCACGTTTCATTTGTTGGCTTGTCATATTCCAAGTGCCCTAAATCTTGTTGTGGGTCGCTTATCATGTCGCAACAGATTCTCCCTAAGGATAGGTCACTGGGTCCATGGGTGTTTTGGGGGCTCTGTACCCATTGCCTTTGCCACTCATCTCAATTCTCTGCTACCCTGGTTTTAATCTCATGTTCCACATTTTTTGGCTGGATCAGTGGATTGGAGGGGTCTATACCTACCCTCCCATTCATCAGCTTCCCTGGATCCTTTCCATCATCTGGATCCCTCTGTATTGGGTTCTTTGGTGGCTTCATTTTGGCTGGCTTTGCCTTTGTTTCCACTCATGTGCTATCTACTGGTGTCACTTCCTCTTTCACTCTCTCTTTCCCCCATCTTCCTACATCAGACCCATTCTGGAGTGTGTCATCAGTCTGTTCCCATTCTCTGTCTTCACATGTGGCTTTTGTCCGATCCCTGGCCCAGCGGACAGGCCTTTTCCAGCATGTGTAGCAATCGTGTAGCATAAATCCCATATCACCTTTGTGCAAGAAGTACACATACATTTATGTACAAAATATGGTGTTTTTAATGACAATATTTTGTCTTTATATCTGATAGAATAGTGTAAATAACATTGTTTTAAAAATAAATCTCAACTTCATAAGCAGGTAGGGTTTATGGACAAGCTTGCATAATTTCTCTTAGATACAGAGTACATTCTCCAGTATGAAGTAGTACTGATTTTTTATATAATCTGAAATGTACAAAGTTAAAATAAAGTCCTATAAATGTATTTTATAGTAAACTTCACACTCAAATTTATCATTATTACTATCTGAACTGAGGTGACAACTAAAAATGGAAGCTTATGATCTTGTTTATATAGAATAAAATGAATACTGTTGTATTCAATTATTGTAAAGATTCAGAGACTTTAGATATTTAAAAATAGTAGAAGGATCATTTGGGTGTTATTATTGTTCAGTGTAAGAACTTTTTTCTCTAATTTACACGTGCTAATCTTGATTTATTTAGTTGCACAAGTATATTTTGAATCTTATTCATTTACAATTTTACACTGATATAAAATTTTTAAAATAAAAGAAATTTGTGAGTGAAATAGGAACAAGACTTTGAAGTCTATTCTGTATGACAAAACAGATTGGTCTTTGCTCTGAAACACATCTTGTGTAAAAGCTTGCAGTTTTTTTAGACGCATTTTATGGGCTTGTATAAGAATATTTGTGTGTATGTAGTAAATAAAATTTGTAAAGTATATTTGAATCCTTCAGGTATATAAACAGCCTTAAGAAAGTGAGATTTATTTTGAACACTATTTTTGATTTAGCATGTAGACTTTCTGTAATCAGAAGTTAAAGGTTGTTCAGAAAAGCATGGCTTGATACTTTACAGAAGATTTATTTTCCTAATTTGAAAATTGCTAGATTTGTACTTGTTGGCTTAGAAGATTAAAAAAAAACTGTTACCACTTTACATTGCAAATGCAAAAAAAAAAAAAAAATCTTAATTTTGGCCACTTAAATCTGAAACTCTTTTTTTATGGTTTTAAATAAATAATAATAAACTAGCATCAGAGATTACATAATCTAAAAAAAAAACCTGTATAAATTCTACTTAGGTTTTTATGCATTTTTTCATAGTAGCTTGACTATTTTTAAGTTTATAATTGAGAGTTGAATTAGAATATTTTTGTAGTTTTATTAGATATTATATTGATCTTGTAGTAAATAGATTGACTATTTCTATGTTAACAGTTAAGAATTGAACTTCATCATTATGCTTATATAATTGTAAAATAATAATGTGCCATTCAATTTATGAAAACTTAAGTTACAAAGCTTTTATATTTAATGCTTTAGAAGAGTACAAGTGAAATGTACATTAATTATGCACAAACAGTTATTATGAATATCTTATAAAGGTTTAAATAAAACTCCTTTATTACAGGTGTACATATAGTATTTAAAAGGAGTCATTCATTTTTATTGATGAAAGTTTTGAACCATGTAATGTTTTTTATGGTGTATAGCAAATATTAATGAGTCTTTTGAAAGATAAAATTTTTTAGATATGTCATGTATTGTGAAAGAGCAAAGATTTCTTCAATATCTGAGTAAAATTTTTAATAAGATAAATATTATTGTGTATATATAAATCAATTTTGCTACTTTGTTGATTAAATACAGCTTAGCTCCTAAATTGACTGCCATATTGTCACATTTTGATAAGCTTAAAGACATATATCAGTGTTAAATTGATGGAAGTATATACAGACTATTTTGGATAGACTGCACCTTTGTACATGTACACCTATTACCTTGTGTATAATGAGCACCTAGATCACTGTGATATCTTTCACATCCCACTAGCCATAGTGAGCCTTGGTATTGGGTGAAAGGCTAAGAATTAGGTCTCAAACATTGTTGTAGTAGGAAACTTTGAGATAACTCTGAAGTTTGATTGGTCAGTATTTGTGTGTGCATTGTGTGGCAGCTATTTACAAAACAAATTGCTAACTAGTTTTAGTTAGCACAATTAACATTTCAGAAATGTTAGTGATTATGTTTGATGTTGCTTTGCTAATTTCTGCAGCATTTTGTTGTTGTTTTTGCCAACACATCTTTTGCTGTTGAAGTCTGTTTTTCATGCATGTTTTTTTTATTTTTTATATGTATATATAAAGTTCCATTTTGTTTTCATCTGCCCTGTACGGCAGATGAAAACAAAATGTAACTTGTACTTAGATCTAAACTACTACTTTATTATAAAACAAATTACAAAAAAAGAAAACATCACAAAGAAGGCTATTTTTTCTCATTCACATGTTCACAAAATTGTGCATGTGAAGATCATAGATGATGACCATTATTCAAAGAATGTGTGTTTTACTTATGTGCAAAGTTAAATCATTACAAAGCAGTCAAGTAAAGTAATCAACATGATTATCCTGGGTAGTACCATCCACATTTTAAACCTTGTTTCACTCTCTTATAGAAGTGGGAGTGGGAGGTTATGCAACAATAGTAGGCTCAGATAAAATGAACAACTAGAGCTATGAGACTTTGGTTGTATTTTTTGTGTCAACAGAATATTGTGTTTGTGGAAGGATACTACATTTCTGCATTCAAATGTTTTATCAGTGCTCACCCACTCTTTTCACCACTTCACCAAAAACTAATTTTAGGCAGATATGGCAAAAATAAAACCAATACGATGAGCTTTTTGGTGAAAGTAATCCTCACAGCCATCTCCATATTGATTATGCCTATTTACAGTTAGTGGTAAATATCTTTGACAAAAGTTGAATTTAGCTAACTTCATTACACAGTCAGTAATGAGATTCCTGCAGTCCTAATCGATAATTTATAGAGTGCCTAACAGAATCTTTGTATGAAGCGTATGAGGAATTCCGTATAGCCAGTGACTGTACTGCCCGTATCTTCCAATTATGGAAATTAGGCTGTTAGTGCCATTTTGTGCATGTCATGCTTGCAATGATTGAGAACCAAAATATAGGTTGACTTGTCTGACTTCAGGTACAACTAAAATCTGCTGCATGTGAATATGTTGTGGTTATGAATAGACAAATATGAATAAACGAAATACTTGTTTGCTAAAATTTTGGCTAAAAAACGAAATTAGGATGGGTTGGCACAGGTTATGGACTATGCAATTTTATATACAGGTATACAGGGGCATCAATACTTTTTGGTGTAGGAGGGGTTTAAAAGAATGTTTACAGGCATTATTTATTGAATACTCACTGCTTCTATAGTCTGTGTTGTGTCGCTGGTAGTATTAACTAATCTGAGTTGGAAAGAGTGCTTTATGAGGAAATGAATAAACAAACTGGACACATCTACTAAATTCATTCAAAACATTTGAAACAACAAAGTGCTTTCTTTGAGTCAAATAGTATGAGATACATTTTATGCATGGAAAATTATCAGTGTTAAAAGGGTTCTGTAATTCCTGATGAATTGTAAAGAATGAAACACTTAAGTTAAATTTTGGGCACAAAGAAAGGAATATCTACAAGTGAAATTAACCAGGTGACAAGTGTAAATAGGGGGGGGGGGAGGCTGCAGTTCCTACTGACATCCTTGGGTATACAGTTATGTTACTTTCATTTGACTGTATCTGTAATTTTTCAGTATGCAAAAGTGGAATAAACTTACTTTAGAAAAATGGTCATAACTCTATTCATATATGCTATCATTCATTTTCAAATACAAGATCTAAGCCTGGGTACCATTTTTATACACTTAGTTATTAATACAGGATATTTATTTCATAGTTCATTAGCATAGACCTACTTGTAGATTGTGAAATACATTGACTTTCATATTAAGACTATTTAATTTCCATTATTTTATGGCTTTGGATGTTTTAAGCATATGCAGTTTGTTCTGTACTTGAACCTATAGGCAATTGTAATGATAAATGTGTTGCTCACTGCCCATGTGCATGTTGGCCATAGCAACATGTATTCAGTTTTTGAATAGAATGAACTTTATATTGAACTTGATATTGTTTTTTCACAGCGTCCAATACCCCACCCTTACCCTCACAGCAACCAAAGGCCAGTAATGAATGGGGTAAGGTCCATTAAACTATCTTTAGGTTTTATTTTTGTAGCTTTTGAATGTTTTTAGCATGATTTTTTATGATATTCATGAAGCTTTTAACAGCATGTTTTGTGGTGTTTCTTGTAAGGTAAATCAGAGTTAGACATTTGTCCTAAGACCAAAAACTTGGGACAAGAAAAAATAAATTTAAGTTATATTATACAAACCTCTATGTTTTTTTTAATATTAATACATTTAAATACATTAGGTAATTCTAGATTTTATTTTTAGAGGACAATATAAGATTCATCTTGTATATTTTTCATCTGAAAATGCAAACTCTGTATAATGTGCACATAAAACTACACATTTGATGATGGTGTGATATGTTAGATACTAGAATATAAAATAAGGGTTACTGAATCAGTTCGTCTGAATGTTCAAACTGCCAAAAATTAGGTACTGTAAATTACTATAATGAAAAAGTGGAAGAGAGAAAAATGAACCACTTATTTAACCTGAAACAAGGAAACTGAAAATAATTATATAAACCTACAAAAAATTAGAAGGATTGAAAATAATATTTTCAACCATATGCCAGTACTGATATAATCTAAACAACTAGTTGTTTTCCAACAAATCTAGTAACTTTTATTTAACTTATCAGAAAGTGTCTTAAATCTTAACATAAAAAAGGAGAAACTTTGATTAATGTAGCTGTAAGTATTAGTATTAACCCCATTTAAGTTATTTATTGGTTAATTTGGCCAGTGTGAAGGTATATCTTCATAACAAGACAAATGATAATTGAAGCTCACAAGTGATCATTTAATTCTGAAATGATCTACTTGCATCTCCGCATACAGTAGCTATTCCTCATGCGTGTCTTTGAGACTTTGTACATACTGCTGGACTTGAGCTGTCTCCCACCTAAGACATGGTTTAATGCTAACTGCGCGACTTAATCATCATGTGACAATAGCTCTCCAGCAAAAGTATGGCAACACATCCTCCATGTGCAGATTCCCATAAACACTTGTGCTCAAAATGAGTTTCATTCTTTTCCTCGGCACTGTTGTAAACAGACATTAGCAGAGTTTGAACTTTGTTCAATGTGGTGAGATCTGCACTGCTGTTATTCCAGTGTTAACTTTTGTATATTTTATTTCAATGCTTTTCGGTTACTGTGTAAAAAAAATAATGATTTGAAGTTTCCTTTAATAACAATGACTTCTCAAGTGACAATGACTACTACCTCCTCTTAGGGTACTGGCGATGTTGCTACCACTGACCCTACTTCGTCTGCGGCCACTATAGGACCATTGACTGTGGAGGACATTACTGCAATTAATTAATTCCTTCATTGCCTCACCTACTTTGTCCCTATGTTGGAAGTGTGTTCTCCTCTTTCTGAACCTGTCCATGAGGATGAGGATTTTGATCGGCTCTTTCCACCTCCTGGGTTTGCACTAGGATCCTCTTTACTTGTAAAGGACAATGTTCCTTCTCAAAATTTCTTTATAGATTTGATTTCACATGTTTGTTCTTTACTTTCTCTTTCACCTATGTCTTTTGGTTCTTTCTGTTCATTACTAGCTGAAGACTATTTGGTTTTCCTCCTTCTCCAGACATATGTGTATATGCTGACATGTTTCTGGATCAGCTTTGTGCACTTTATCAAATGGCTCATCCTCTTTGACCCCAGAATTCCTTTGCCATGGCTTATGGCATTTCCCCTTTTCCATTCTTGCATTCCTAATCCCTCAAGTCCCTTTTATCCATTTGGGGAATTAACACCCTATCTCCAATAGCTCTAGTGATCAGTTTTCCTGCTTTTCCTTTTTCTTATCCATATCCTTCATTACCTCTTCCCTTCATCTTCTCTCTGAAACCCTACACCATGATCCTGATAGTTTTTCTGGAGATCTACAGTTGAGACTTTTCAGTACCTTGGCCAGGGTTTTGTTTTCTGCTTTGTCCCTGCTTAATTGGTTCCTCTGTTGTTAGAACTTTCTCTGATGTGATGCTCTTCTTTCTGCTGTTTGTCTTCCCCATTCTTGTCTCTGTCTGGCTCCTTTTTCTTCGCCCTGAAGTCTTTGGTAGTGTTCCTAATACCTCTGAGACTTGGACTGAGGCTGCCCATATCTGACACTAGTTCTTCCTTTCCTAAATGGTTTCTTGTCTCTCTCAACTTCGTGAATCCATGCCCAATTCTCAATCCTGTGAACCCTTTACCTTCTACTTTTTTCCATTTCTCTTCCCTCTAATACTTCTCACTGTTCCCTCTCTTATTGAGTTGTCATTGCATGTCCCAACAGTGGCTACCTTCCTTTGTATCCTGTTGGCTCAGGCCCCATGGAAGCACGTCTGTTTCTGTTTGCAAACCTCTGGACGCTATTTGCACCCAATTGTTGGATCATTCCAGTTCTTACACAAGGCTTTTCTCTTCACTTTTCATCCTTTCCTCGTTTGACTCCATTACCTTCTCCTCCTGATCCTAAGCATCTTTCTGTATCTCAAGGTCACACTATCAAATCTTATGGACCAAAGAACCAATAAGAGGGTTCTTTGCTCCTCTACAGGATTTTGTTCATGTCTTTTGATTATTCCCAAAGAGACTGGGAACTGCCATCCCGTCATCACTTTTTCTTCTCTCACCCATCATTTAGTGGATTCTCAGTTCTAATTGCCCAGTCCTCCCAACGTTTTTTTTAATTAATTCACTAGAATCAGGGGTATCAGTTTTGAGCTCATCACATTTACAGTCTTGGACATTGTTTCCATTTTTACCTGTATGACTGGCTTTTACTTGTTTCTTCTCAGGAGGCCTTTTTCTTGACCATGTCACTTTTCTTCCAGAAAGCTGCTCATCTGGGTTGGCTGGTCAAACCTTTCATGTCATTTCACACTCCAGCCCAATACTTGGTTCAACTTGGATTATTTTTCAATTCCTGACTCAGTTGAGCTCAGCTCCCCATTTATCTGCAAGACATGCCACATCTAATCATCTTGGCTCTTGCCTCTTCTATACTTCCTCCAAGAGTGGTTCTATCTCTTTTAGGAACTCTTGCATCTCTCAAATGTCTTGTCCCTTTATGCCAAGATCACAGAGCTACTTCAGTGGGCTTTGGTTATGCTGCTGCCTTCTCTTCTTGAGGATCAGTCTTGGTGCTAGATTGTGCCAGTAATTCTGTTTACAGTCTACTCTTGCCCACCACATCCAGATTTTCTTCTCTTCACTGACAAACCTCTAATGGGTTGGGTGTGTCTCTGGGTGATTTCATGGCCTCAGAGGTTTGATCTAATGTGGAGCATATTTTGCACTTTACTATTTTGGAGGTATTAGCTGCTGCCCATTGGGCATGTTCCTACTTCCTGTCTCAAATGGTGGATCACTTGTTTATAATCCACTTCAACACCCCAAGAATATTTGCTTCTACAAATTAAACATTTCTGTTTTGTTTCCAATCACATCGGTTTCGTCTATCCTCCTGTCATGTCCAGGGGGCTTTGAACTTCGTGGTGGATCGTCTCTCTTTCAACCCAACAGGATCTTTTCATTGAGTGGTTCACTCCATTTTCAGGTCTTTATGTGGATCTTTTCCTAGTTGTGCATACCAATGACCAATGCTTTTGCCACTCCTCACAATACCAAATTTCTCTTTTTTTGGCCCCAAGGATTGGTCTCACCTCTTCCTATATGTGTCTTCTTCTTCTACGTGTCTTGCCTTTGATTTGCATGATGTGACATTTCTTGTAGGATTCTCTTACTGGCCCCTTTTTGGCGGGCCCAGTCTTGGTTTCCTCTTCTTCACTGACTGGTCCATCCACTACTCTCCCATCAGGCTGTTGCCCACCTTTTGGCCTTCTTTACCTGGTTGTCTGACCAAGCATTGTTGATTTTTATCATATCAGGTGCCATTTTTCTTTCCATCTCATTACAATTCTTCCTCATTCATTGTTCCTCTTGTCCAATTCCTTTGCCTGATTGGAATCTTAATGTGGTTCTACATGCTCTTGCCCAGGACTCATTTGAACCATTGGCCACTTACTCATTATACCATCTCTCTCTCTCTCTCTCAAAACCTATTTCCCTCTTCTTGCCAGTGGTTGTTACAGATATGATCTTTATGCATTGGATTCCTTCCATACTTTGTTTTACAGATCTTCTTTGATCTTGTTCCATGACTGCTTGTTTCTTCCTAATATTTGGGTGGCTTAGGATGAAAATCATTCCTTCTCTCCCATTGCTTTTTTCACAAGTCTCAGCCATCTATAATCTTACTGATCCTGATTGTCTTTTTGTATCCAGTTTGACCAGTCAGTTGTTATTTGGCATGCATGGCACAATTTCTGGGTTCCCACAATCGTTTTTTCTTGCCATGGGATCTTCCTTTTCCAGGGATGTTTCATTCTCTATATTTACTGGATGGATTTGTCAGTTCATTCAGATCACATATTCCTCCATGGATGGAGATGCTTGCAGGCTGTATCATGTCACCTCATTTCAGATCTACCACTTAACTCAACCTCTGGCCTTGCACTATCGACAATTCTAGGATCAGATCCTCCAGGCTGGAATGTGGACTATGCCCAACACCTTCATCTCTCATTACCTCCACCATCTAGCAGTTTCATTTTCCCCAGGATATTGCTTACCTCCAGTTGTCATTCTCCACACTACTCACCATCTGTGATGAGTAAGTGTATCTCTTATTTTTTACCCTTTTTTACTCTATATGATTTGCTTCCCAAAACCTATTCAGTGGCAGGTGTTGCCTCACAGGGTATACTTATTTCCTTAATCCGCATTAAGTCAGGAGTAATGGAAAGTGTTAAGTCTATCTGTATTGGCTCCCAGTGTGCCCACTGTTGAGATGAGGTTTTTTCTGCAAGACCAAAGACCACTAAGCTGGTATTTATCTATGTATACGCATATATATCTTTCACTGTTAATTCCAGTCCGTGTGTTGCCTCTCTAGTAAACCCCTGCTATAGTGTCACACTCCATGGGCTTTCCCCTTTAGTCATCTTCTCTGTAGGGAGCTCCTCTAGGTTTTTACAATTGCACCACCATATTAGTGTGGGATTCTAGCTACTGTGTGCAGAAAGGTAAGTGGATCATTTCAGAAGTTAAAATCTGCCTTACCTCTCTGGATACCTTCACACCCTTCCTCCCCACTATTAATGTGTGCTATTCTTGCCTTGTTTGAGAATGAAAATAGTTTAGTTTTAAATGCAAGTGCTCATGAAGATCTACTGTGCATGGAAGATGTGTTTCTCTCCTATTGGTGGATGGCTATTGTTACACAATGATTACATCACACACTAGTGCAGCTCATGTTAAAAGGTGTCTTAGGTGAGAGATAGCTCAAGGCTAGTAGCATGTGCAAAATCTCAAAGGCAGATGCAGATGGAATAGCTACTCTGTACAGAGAGATAAGCATCTCTCAGAAATATATTTCCAGGTAAGGAAAATGTTAACATTTGTCTTGTTTGTCTTATTTATTTAATTGTACAATCCTATTTAGTTTTTATTGGCACTACATGTTTAAACTGTGAATTACATGAGGTAAAGTGTTTTGTCAATTTAGATTATAGATGTTATATTTTCTTTAGAATTAAGCTTAGTGTTGTTGATGAATGTATGCAAATTTTCTACAGTGTGAATGTGACTTTCTATCTACTCTACAAGTCATTTTTCTGTGTATCCTTTTCCTTCTGAACTCATATTTCATTTTTGGATTTCAGTGCTGTTTTACTATGGTTAAATTGTTAAAACATATCTGTATTACACATGATTTGATTTGTTTGTTGTTTTGTCATTATTATTTCGCTGCTCCTGTATATGTACATGTGTCAAAAACACTGAAATGGATTATTGTTTGATCATATGTCATACGTTATTCCTCTAAGAATCACTCCCACTTTCATTCCTTATAACTTGATTTAGTTGTGCAGTATATTGGCCAGCTCTTTATTATGCATTTCACACATGCACAGATTGGCTTAGTGCTTTACTATAGTATTACGATTATGGTTTCATATTTTTCCTGCAGTTGAGTTTACTACAAATAGTGTTGAGTGCACACCACATGATGCAACTACTATTTTTTTTTCTATTTTTTGTTTGAATTAGATTTTGTTACAAAATCTTATTGCTTCTCTCGAATTATAGTATTTATTTCCAGTTTCTAATAATTTTAAGATGGTTGGTCAAAATAGCGATCATGTCCTGCCCTTTCCACCTAATTTCTGTTTATTTTCTCAATTTGAAGTTTGGTTCAGCTTGATGATATAGCATGACATAGAATGTAGTAGTAATAACAAATGCCAGCATTTTCTCACAACTTGGTAAATTTCCAGTGCACAAGTTACAAAAACTGTGTTGGGTGACTTACCAAAATACATATGAGTTGGCTTGTCAGAGAGATACAGCAACATACTATCATAATGGTTTCTATTGTTGGCTGGTTTCATTTGGTAAAAGAATAATGCAAAGTTTAAATCACTTAATACTAACAAAAGCATTTCTTCATGTTACATGGTTAGTATAACTAATGTTCACTAGTAGGCCTAACTTCACAAATAAACTTTCAAATGGAAATTGTACTTCTACTGTAATTTCACATCTCCTTTGAAGCACAAGCTTATTATTCACAGCACTGAAGTGAATAATTGGTAGAAGTAACAAACAAACTAATTCATGCACTGAAGACTCAATTGATTAACAAACTTGTTAATTAATAATTCACTCTAACCTAACTCACATTTTATATATGACTCAAATTATTTGTTTCCTAATCTTTGGATTGTAAACCATGCTCATTAGGGTACACCAGATTTTTTTTCTGCTAAACATAAACACACATTTTGATAAATGCTAGATTAACAATATCAGATACAACACTACTTAAAAAATAATCAGTTTGTGCTTTAAGCAAAATTATGATCAATCCTGTTAATGTTCTTTTGAGTAAGGTATTTGGTCTAAGCTCATAATTGTATCATTAGACTTCTTTTTCTTCAACTCAGAGATATAATTGACCAAAGTGGTTAATTGTGCCCAAAAATACGGGCAGGAAATGATCCAATGCTAAATTTCCTCATGATGCAGTATCTAGTTGATAATTTTGATACTGTGCATGCATTAAGTTTATTTATTTAAAAGTTATTTCTGGCCACATAGCACAATATTTTTGTTATTAAAGTTAGTAAAGTCACCACAGAACCAAATAATTGCCTGTGGAGAAAGATAAAATGGATCAGTGTTCTTTATGGGTCACTTTCTTGACCATGGAAAGAGCATTTTTGTGAATGTTGTTTCTCTTATTTTTGTTTTTCTAATAAATCTGTAGAAAAAAAAAAAAAGCTGATGCTGAAGTTCTGTGTTAAAGATTTTTAATGTAGTTTACCTTTGGTTGGACAATTTTATAGTCAGTTGTATCATTAAATTTGTTTTTTTCCACAGAGGCCATTAGCTCAACCCTATCCCCAGCCTACACAAAGAACTGTGCTCAGTGGGGTAAGGTTCTTCTATTGCATCTCACATAGCTGAAACATTTTCACAAGTGGCTTAATTCTGTTCTCATCAGTGCAGTATTAAGCAAACACACGTAATATAGGTTGTGGTATATATTATGTCTGAATTCTGTTAAAGTGAAAGGTTGTGTGTCTTTGTTTGTAAGTACATTTCTAGTGTAAGTCACTAAAATGTGTTTGTGTGGTACATATATATGTGTGTGTGTGTGTGTGTGTGTGTATGTATGTATGTGTATGTGTGGGCTTGGTCCTATCTTTGAAACAGAAGGGTATTAGGCACTTTAGTAGTATGATTAACATTTTTACATTAGGAGTATTATTTTATAAGTTGAACGTAGGCACAAAATTTGATATGTACTGTGTTTTTGTACACTTTTTCATGAGAACAGTCTAGTTTGAGAAATGCAAAACTTACAAGAAACACTAAATCTTTTGATGTCGTATATTTACAATAAAATGGTAATAGTTATGTAATAGTAAGCTATAATACTAGTTTAGAACAAAAATGCTAAGACCTCACTATCATATATTTACTTATTGTTGCTCATCTTGCATATGTATAAGATATTGACAGTCCCTACATTTTGATTTAAAAATAAGTAATTTTATTTACTTACATTTAAATATAGTTTGATTTGCATACATTTGCTAATTTAGTTTGGTCCATCATATGTGTACTGATCTAGAAGATATTCTGAACTAGTTTAGCTTAGAAACCTGCTTCCCTGTTCTACTTTCAACCATCCAATAACATAAAGTTCTCTGTATATGTAAGATTATTTAAAAAATGAACCCTCACTTCTTATTTTAGATTGCCTAAGCACATCACATTCACTGAGACTACCGTAGAAAATATGCAAGATGCTATATTGAAATGTTGTCAACAGCTACTAATGTTTAGATTTAAACTGTTTTAAAATTTACAATCGTTAGGTCTAGTTTTAACTGTTTAGAAACTGAGGAATGAGTGTACAGATCCGTGTAGGAGGTTCTCTTTAAATGTTACTTTAGCTTTGAAAGTAAGTAAACTGTTATGTTCCAGTGCAATATTAATTTTTCACTACCATGTAAAATTTTGTTTACTTTTAAGTAGTTCATTTCTATATATATTAACTTTGAAAGTGAGTTTTTGTATTGTTTTAAAAATATTTTGTTTGCTTTGTGATAACAGAATGAATGTATATTATTAAAACCCATATATATTAATTTATTCACCTCAAAGTTTTGATAGTAAGCTTGTGCAGTAGTTGTCAGTCTTGATGTTTACTTTTGTGTATGTTTAGTTTTGTTTGAACATATTAGTACATACATATATAAAGCATAATTAAAAGCTTCAATCTACATTTACACTGTTTCTGTGACACTACTGTGTTATTTTCGCTTTGTTGCTGTGTAAAAAAATATTTTATTTCTATAAAGTTGTGCCATTTAATAGAGCATTTGGTGAAAATGATATTGCGGACTGCTTAAATAGGCAATTGAATTAAAAAACTCCAAAGATACATTTTAAATATATTGAGATCAAAGGTAAAGCACAACCTGGAGGGGACAAGTAAACCACCTGTAGCTTATCTAATACTTAAGAAGAAAGTACTATGCAAGTAGTTAGTGTTCTAAAAGGTTACTACCAGTAGGTTAAGTTTTGCTCCATAACATTCCTATGGAATGTAGTGCAAAGCTTTAAAGTTTCTTTTTAAATGTGTTCAACTTATAGTAGAGACTACAGAATGTTCAGTGAAAAATATTTAACAGTGGGTAGTCAACATTGTTCAATGAAAACTGTGTAACATTGGGTAGTCAACATTTTTAAATTAAAAATATTTAACAGTGGGTAGTCAACATTGTTCAATTAAAAATATTTAACAGTGAATAGTCAACAATGTTCAGTGAAAAATATTTAACATTGGGTAGTCAACAATGTTCAGTGAAAAATATTTAACAGTGAGTAGTCAAAGTTTCATATAGAGTAACATGTATACTTAGAATGTGTTTGGTATAGTTTTTCTACTTGAGGTTTTTATCTGTATATGAAATAACAAAATTACTTTCTTGTAAATTCAGTATTGAAAGAACATGTAACCAGTAAAATATTGAAGGATTGTTTGTTCAGGTATGAAATGTTAAGTGAAAACACTCGTGTTTTTCAATGTAAAACATATATATATATATATACGCACACACACACACAACAGGTTTTCAAAAATGAAATGCATGTGCTTGTCAGCTGGAAATATAAAACAGTTTATTCTGTTTATTATTGTGAAACAATACAATAAGCCTGGAATGTATTGGTATAAAACTGATTGCCTGAACTACAAGAATTTCAGTAGTGAAGTTTACTCATAAATCTTGTAAGTTTTTCATCAATATCTAGCTGCAAGAAAGTACCATATATTGGGTCTTGTTTTATTTAAATTCATTTTGTCAGGAGTTACTCGTTGTGAAAAGCTTAAAAACAGTTTTTCTGTGTAGAGCAACTACTTATCTGACAAATATAAAGAAAATTGTTGGCATATCATATGCTGTTCACATCACAAATAAGCATGTGTAAATTATAATTTCATGCTAGCTCTGAAACTGATAATACACAATGAGTAAAACTGGTTTTTGACATTATAATGTCTAAAATATTTGGTACATTCATTTGAGAAACAGAAGACTTCAGAATATATTTCTTTTTAAATCATAATTTCTTACTGGATGTTGATGTGACACTAAATTACTGATATCCTAATTTTTGTTTTTATGTAGATCTTATCAGTTTATTTTTGCATGTAAAGAATATAATGCCATGCACATTTCAGTTTTTTTACCCTTTCCCTCGCAAGGTATGAAGTACATAAAATATACATGTGATTGACTTTAGTGTGATAAAAAAAAAGGCTATTAAGTCAATAAAAAAGGGTATCTTAATTATACTGGAGAAGATAGGCCTTACGAGGTGTACATTTTTGAAAAAATGGTAGCATGAAATCTCAAATTGTGTTGAAAGGTAATAGAAACATGTTGAAAATTATTCCTCATGTTACACTCAAATTACATTTCGTAATAGTAATATGCTTTTAATGTAATTATTCCTACTAATGTCATCTTGGGTATTTTGGAACATTCAAAACTCTTCAGAGAAATTGGTTTGAAATGTTAAAATACATATATGTGCCTTTAAAGTTTTGTTACTAGAAAGTTAATAGAGAGAAAAATCTGGAACAAGGTAAATTATGCTGTTAATGACACAGTAAGAGAAAGGTAGAACTGTTTATCAAAATCTGGGAAATGGAGTGCAAGTGAGATTTGGAGAATCAGTAGAAGACTTAAAAACACTGAAACAGTTGTAAAAAAGTAGATGTGAAAAAGTACCGAAGAATATGAATATAGAAAAACACGATGTTACAAAGAAGTTAGTGAAGTGAAAAATGAAAATTAAATTTTAGAAAGCTTGCAAAGATTAGCTTTTAGTATTAACACCGAGTTCGCTGGCCAGGCCGGGAAGTTTTGTTGATTTTTTTTTAATAGGCCATCAATGTGTTTTTTGTTTTATTGGCTAAGGTTTTCCATACATTTTCCCTGTAGTCTGAAACCATTTTACCGGAAGAAGTTAATTCAATCGGTAGCAAAGAAACATTTCCCCAGGGTTGGATCTTATGACCAGCATGTGGTTTTTTGTTTTATTGGCTAAGGTTCTTCATACATTTTCCTTGTAGTCTGAAACCATTTTACCGGAAGAAATTAATTCAATCGGTAGCAAAGAAACATTTCCCCAAGGTTGGGTCTTATGACCAGCATGTGGTGGTTGTTATGGTTCAAAATATATTGATCCTTTCAAAGAAGAAATTACCAGAATGTTTTAAGAAGGAGCTAATGATGATGCCAAAAAGACTAGTCCCAGAGGAATGGTGAATACTTGGTCAATAAATATCCTCAGCATATTGATATTCCAGCTAAAAATGAGATACAACAAGTTATATCTACACTGCTCAGGAAACAATGCATTGATGGATCTATATACTAGGCATTTTTGATGAGCACAATGGCAATATTACACCTGCAAATATGCTACGAATCTTCAAGGATCAATATTCTTGGCATGATGACATATTCCAAATGGAAAATTGTGCTCCATGTCAAATCCAAGATATCCTCCATGAAGGTAAACATGAAAAGAAATATGTAAAAAACACAACAGAGCTCATTACCATTACTACACAGGTGATTCTATCCATCTAACGTACAAGTTATAACATTAGTACGCAGGTGATTCTATCCATCTAACATACAAGTTATAACATTATTACACGGGTGATTCTATCCATTGAATATAGAAATTCTAACATTACTACGCAGGTGATTCTATACATCTAACATACAAGTTCTAACATTACTACGCAGGTGATTCTATCCATCTAACATACAAGTTCTAACATTAGTACACAGGTGATTCTATCCATCTAACATACAAGTTCTAACATTGAATCACCTGCATAGTTATCCATCTAACATACAAGTTCTAACATTAATACGCAGGTGATTCTATCCATCTAACATACAAGTTCTAACATTACTATGCAGGTGATTCTATCCATCTAACATACAAGTTCTAACATTAATATGCAGGTGATTCTATCCATCTAACATACAAGTTATAACATTACTGTGCAGGTGATTCTATCCATCTAACATACAAGTTCTAACATTACTAGGCAGGTGTATCTATCCATCTAACATACAAGTTCTAACATTACTATGCAGGTGATTCTATCCATCTAACATACAAGTTCTAACATTACTATGCAGATGATTCTATTCATATAACATACAAGTTCTAACATTACTATGCAGGTGAATCTACCCATTTAACAAACAATTTCTAAGTGTAAGGCTCATGAGTTCCAAAAGCACATAACTTTCTTGAAAATAAACAGATATTTTCTTTGAAAGTATAATTGACCCCCTGTTTCATGAAGGCATCAATTTATGCCATTTTTAGTAGTTAGAACATATTTTTTTATTCACCCTTAAAACAAATTCTTGACAAATCGTACTATATTTTCAGGCCTGGCTCATGAACTCGGTGTTAAAAACTGATTTGCAAAAGTTCAATGAAATATTCTGTAAAAAAAAGGGCAAATTTGTATATATATGCAAAACATAGTAAATATTTATGGATTCAAGTAAAATTTCCTAAGAAAATCCAGTTTGTTAATAATGAAAGTTCTTGTGAATAGTTGATAAATTAAATTTGTGGTCTTAGAATAGTCTAGTGGGTTACTTTACATTACAAGTGTACGAGAGTCAACTATTATACCGTGTCTTCGTTTGAGAGAATATTTATTTTCAAAGTGCATTTTCTGTCTTTTATAGGTGAATCCTGGAGGAATGTCACTGTATGGTTATACTGCCAACACACTTCCAGCACAATATCTCCAAACAGTTCCTTCTATGTATGCCACTCGACCTGGAGCAACTGTTTACTTACCAGCAGGATATGATCCAGGTGCTCGTTTTGATGGGCATGGCATGCCTGTTGTTCCTGTGAGTTATCAGTTTTGATTCTTTTTACCCAAAACCTTCCAAAATTTGTAAGATTGTTTTAAGTGTTTAACACATTCAATATAAAGAAGACTATACATATTGAGCTATTTTTTCATGGTTATTTTCTAAAATTGAAAGTTAATACACACACCAGGCTGCATAGCCATAGATCTTTTCAAGAGAAAGAGCAGTTTTTTGAGAGAAAAAAAAGAGGGAAGGCTGTCAGATCTTGCATTCTTAGATTTAAACATTAGAAGAATTTGAAACACTTACATAGCCATTGTAGAAAATATCATAAAAGTTACAATAATTTCTTCACCCTTACATATGTTACAACAAAAATATATGGTCATTTATGGCAATCCATCACTTAAAAGATTATGAGTTGAATTCCAAAGGAGTACAGATTGTATAAGTTGGTTTTCTTTGACTACTTGAAAATAGTGTCAGTAAATCTAACATTTTATAGCTGAAGTTACATTTGACTTCTTTCCCAGTAGATATTAACAATCTCGCTACAGGCTCGACTGAATCAGCTGATTTCGTGAGACCCCAAATTGACCTTCATAGTTTCCATTCTATAACTTCTAATGTGCTTTGTGTATCTTCACGAAATTTAACAACCTTTTATTATGCATTAAAACTCATTTTTTGACAAAAAATCTAAATTTTTAATCAAGTATTTTCACTGGGAATTTCTCCATGAATACATGGAGTCCAATTATTGACTGCTTTAAGTGCAAAGTGATTTTTATGTTACAATTAAAAATACTTTTCTTCATTTGAAAATTCTCAAATTGCATTTACTTAATCTGTAAAAACCTCCTAGATAAATTTCAAAAGTTTTTATCAGTAAAACTTTATATTTCATTTGTTATTTTCTCTACCCTAACTCTATATAAGGTTGGTCAATTTGACTTAACTTTCATAACCACCATAAGAAAATACAAAATAAATCTAAATTGCCCTTTTTTTCCTTTCTGGAATGACTTCAAATTGTAGCGTGAAACTACATTTATCTTAAAAGTATACATCTGTTTCTACTTAAATTTTATTGTCTTTTGAACTGTGTCTAACTAATATTTCTGCCACACAAGTTGTTAATTTCTTGGTGAACATGTATCTCACATTACCTTATTTAATTAGACTAATGCACAGACTGCTTGCGAATATACTTTGTGAAAAAATATTAATATATGTTTTCCTTTATTTTACCTAATCTAACTTAAAAGGTTTGTAATTTTTACATTTTAGTTACTTTTATAATAATAAATAAAGAATACACATGAAAAACAAGAAATATAGTCTTTACCTAGGTCTTTTTTTTGCTGTTGACTTGATGAATCTTAACCCCACTTTTTTATACTAATGGTACTACTGTACTAAATAATTTTTTATTTAATTCAATAATGCAAAAAAAGAACACGGAATAATTACATGTGAAATGCATAAAATTTTCTATAATTATCACAGTTTCTCTGGCTTTCCAACTATGTGACAAAAGCTGTTAAAAATTCAGCTAAGCTCGTTGATGTGTTTTTCATAGGAATAAAATTTGAACTGGAAGAGAGCAAATGTCACAATTTTCATACTAGGGGAAATTGAGGGTTTGTTTTAAATATTGCCTTATAAAATTAAGAACTTCAAATTTATATGACACTAAAATTTGGAATATTAACCATGTTTTTATGACAAGTTTATTTGTATACCATGATAATAAAATACTTGAATTAAATTTTGGATGTGACTCAATAAAACCTCGTGACATGGACAGAAAAGGATGCCTGTATGGGTACAGTTAACTTGTTGTTACAAATCAAAGTGACAATTCCACTTTCATCAAACACATAAAGTAGAATTTTTTGCAGTGAATTTAGAAAGAAACTATTAAATAGGACTTATAAAATGTTTAAAAAAAATCATGAAAAAGGACTTTTTTTATTCCATGAATGAAATGTTTTTTCCAGTTGTAAATTGCATTACAGTCAGATTATTTACATAATTTTAACATCTTTCTGTAGCCTGCACCCCCTGGAGTTACTCCCAATGCTGCTCAGTTAGCCATGATGCAGGGGAATTCAGTGATGTTGGGACAGCAGAAATCCAGTTATATGACAGGAGGCAGTAGTGGAGGGTACACCTTTTGGTAAACTGATGTAGGGTATAGGGTAGTGTGATTCTTGCACAAAGGCTCCATCTGGTCAGGGGTCAGAGGCCCCTACTTCAGGATATGCCCCAGGGCTATATGCAAGTAATTGCCTTGATCCACAAGAAAAGCGATCAGTTTAGTAATTCATATATATGTTATAATGTCATGAAATCTTTTTTTGGACTGAGAACAAAATCAAGTGATAAGTTACAATATACAATATTGTAGATGCTTTTAATGTATACTGTACTATACTTTCGGAGCTCTTTTTATTTACAATGTCAATGCAGTGCTGTCAATTGAAATATAAAGTTGTAAATTATCATCCTTTAAAAGTGGCTTTGAACCTGTTTTTTTAGTGAATTTTTAATGCAAATAATATGTTCATTTAGTGACCAGTGAGTGTATAAGGCAAGCACTTCCAAGCTATAAATAAAAAATGGATTTTTATTCAACTCCTTAGTTGTGTAATTTATGTTAATTAATATTTATTTGTATAAACATAGTTGAAGCAGTAGCTAAAAGATTTTTTGGGTAGTATAAACTACCAAAAAAAAAAGTTGATTTTTACAAATTGGGATGCTTGATTTATACACCCATACATATGGGTGACATTGTGATACCTATTTAGTTACAGAAATGCAATTATTACATGCTGTAACAGTTGTGGATAGATGCCACCCCACTTAGGGACTTGTTTAATACACACCTACCTTTTTTATCACATTATTATGGGAACATGCTCATGCAAATTTGTGTTATGTTTACTTTTATTGGCCACTGTTATAGACACTTGCCTCTGTTCACTCACACAAAGAACACAGAATAATAACATGTAAAAAGCATACTATGTCCTGTGACTATCACAGTTTTTCTGGCTTTCTAACTATGTGACAAGAGCCATTTAAAAATTCAGCTGTGGGAATAAAGTTTGAACTGGAAAAGAGCAAACACCACGACAAATATAAGGAAAAATTATTGGCATATCACATGCTGTTCACATCACAAATGAGCATATGTAAATTATAATTTCACGCTAGCTCTGAAACTGAAAATACACAAGGAGCAAAACTGGTTTTTGACATTATAATGTCTAAAATATTTGGTACATTCACTTGAGAAACAGAAAACTTCAGAACTTTTTTTTTAAATCATAGTTTCTTACCAAATGCTTGAACACATCTACTATGACATTTACTGAGATTTATATTGGATGCATAATGCTGCATCCAATAACCATTCAGCATATTATAACACATCATCAAAAAATACTGTTTACCTACAGTAAAGAAATTTTGCAAATGAGAATGCACAGCTGTGAAACTTTGAGCAAATTCACCCTTAAATTAAAATGTGAAGTCATGAAGCATTATCATAATACTGTCCTATTTTTCTAAGTTAATAATTTTATCTTTAACACTTGTTAGCAGTATAGTTATATACAGTAGAAGCAGTACCTTTCATTATCAGTTTTATTAAAACAGTTTTGGCATAATTTGGTTATACTGTACGTGTGTGTGTGTGTGTGTGTGGTGGTGGTGGGGGATAAAGTTTCATAAAGATTTTTATACTTGTTATAATACTAAAAATATTAATTATGAGGTTTAAGAAAATTGCTACTCTTAAAATAGTCATTAAACATTATTTAATTGAAACCCAGTGTAATGCAAAAATATTAACCACTAAACTTTACTGCTACTCTATTAGTTTTATAATGGCAAAATTATCTTTTATTTGAAATTAGGGAAATGATATGTAACTGACATAAGTAACCATATTTTTTAGGAGGTTGCTGTTCAAAACTGACTTCTACAACATGTATAATTAAACTTGCAAGAATGCGATCTTCAAATTTGAATAGTTTTTCTATCATGGATAGATATATGTATATTTTTTTAAGCCTTTCAATTAGCATTTTCATAAGGATAATACATTTGTATTTTGAAGTGCTTGGGAAGTTATTCACCACATAAGATAATGATTTGATCCATGATAAACTAAGAAAATTCACACATTTTCAAAGAAAATGGATGGAACTGATTTCGAACTTTGTAAACAGCCATGTTTTTAAGATATCCAAGTTCAACGTACCGTTATTCAACCAACCCGACAATCGGGCATATTTAGAGTGTATATGTATCTGCATCTATTTTTATTTTAAGTATTATAAAATTGGTTTGTATGTATTTGTAAGACTTTTCTGTTTATAGTTACATAATATTATACAATCAACATAGTTGAAAAGTACCAGTTAATGATCAGCCTACTCACTCAAATGATCTGTTTGATTATAACTGTAAGAGAAATTTTAAATTAAACACTCCTACAAAATAGTAACTGTGAGTAGCAGTGAGAGCGAATGTATTTTTTAGTACAGATTTAGATTTTACTATTTTTAATCTGTAAATGAATTTTTAGAAAACAAGTTTTATTATTATTCACAAGTGCACATGTACCATGTATTTGGCAAAATTTTGAGATTTATTTATGGCAGGCATAATGAAAATTTAATTTCCTTGAAGTGTTACATTCATGAACATTATACATAACACACAATTGTAAACACTACTTACTATTTGATAGGAATTTTGTTTAAGACACACAACATATATCTAGTGACACACAACCTGTTGGCTTTTAAACAAGATTATAAACATATAAGAATCACATATTTTTATAGTCACCCAGAAAATTACTTTTAATTAGTTTATTTTGCTTAAGTTATAAACTATATTACAAGCACAGCACAGGTGGTTAAGTACATAAAGGCCTATTGTTTTCACAAAAATGAATGTTTAGGTATTCTCTAGTTACAGTTATAGAATACATAAAACATTTAATTTTGTGGTCAGTTAGTTTTACATATTTAATGTCACAGATATATTACTGATAAATGTGTCTTTTTGTGTAACTCAACTTTATCAAGTTATAAGTCATAGGTCACAGTTGTGATTTTACCCTAAAGATGAACCCCAACTTAAAGGATATCCCATAACTATTACCAAACTAACTAAAACAGGCACCCATCATAAAACTACCTCCCCACCATTTTTCATGGTTGAGATGAAAATATCAAAAGGGTTGCTGTCAAACCCATCTAAGCCCATTTGATACAACCATGACAGCTGATGCTTTAGATTTATGGCTGTGAAGACCTGTTTTTGTGGTTGCAGCCCATCTGAGTAATCCAGTAGTATGCAGTTCCTTGGATGATATAGTGGATGCCAGATGTTTCAAAGTTTGTAGAGTTATTAATTCTAGGCTGCTGGGTTAATATTTAACGCATCTGATGGTCTTCCATCTTGGGCACTCAAACAATTAATGCCACATCCAATAACCATTCCTCTGAAATGATATACAAATTACTTTTTCTCTGTGGCATCTTGATTTTAACTGGACGTTTGTGACGGTTGCTGATGTTTCTGAATCCTAGACAGATGTGCATAATAGGATTCACATGCAACTTCCTTGGGTAGGTGCTTGTTATTAGCTGAAAGTGTATTATTTCAATAAAAATAACATTGACAATATAATGTATGTGTTAATTAAGGAATGTAATATATATCAGCATATTTTTTTCGTATAATATACAATGAAAAAGTGTGAGATTGTAGTAGTGTCTAATACAAAGGGGGATAGTATGAGTAGCAAAATCTGGTAGGCATTACTATACTTTTTAAGAATTTAGTTTTGTGGAAGGTGAAAGTTGTTACTTTTTGAAACATCTTATGCCATGTTAGCCGATGCTGGTTCACTCGACGGCTGTCACTCGGATAGTCATTATGTGGCTTTAAAATCATTGAAATAATACTGATAGAAGTGTCTTTCATATATCCCTACTTTTTCATGTTAAAAGTGTTCTAATTATGCAAGATAATCTCTCAAAGTTGAATCCCTTAATTATTACCACTGAGTTAATTCTAAACCAACCAAAACAGGTGTTTCTTACTATCAGTGGAAACAGAGTTTTGAATCTGTTAATGTATTCAACAATATTTTTTATTCACAACTTTCCAGAGTTACTGGAAAATACAGATTTGTTCAGTAAAAATTTAACAGATTAAACAGTTTATTTACAGTTGTATTTAAATTAATTTATATTCACACATAGTATTCAAAGAAAATTTTTTTTTGACAAAACTGTTATAACTAAACTTATCAGTGAAACAGTTCAAAAAGCTTTTCCTTAAATAGTCTGTACTGGATTAAACATGACCATTACAGACACCTACTGTCATTAAAAAAAATGTCTCTCAGTAATAATTTTATATAAAAAAAATTTACATATGACAGCTATTGAAATTATTGAATTTCAACAGATATTTGCACACTTTTTCAAAATTTCTTGATTCTGAATTTGCTGACAAGAGTTTTTGTTAGATAATTTGGCGGAGGATTTTATGTGACATGGTACGGTGCAGTATTTCTATAAACATAGTCTAATTGTATTTCCCAAGATTTTTTTCCTAAGTACGTCTGAAATGTTAGTGTTAAACCTACCTATCTTAACACTAAAAGTTATCGTCTAGAACTGAAACCCTTAAGTCCACAAAAAATCTGGGAGGGGGGTTTGACTCCACCAGGCCTGTCTAAAGAAAACCCCCGATTAATAAAGATAATTTTGTTTTGCATCCTTGCAAACAAGTCATACTTCAGCTCTTGTCAATGTGAATTTGAAATTTTGAATTGCACTTAAGATTCTTGTAATTACACAAACTGTTAAAAAAATGTAATTTCTGACAACACTACAAACTATTCTGTGATCACCAGGGAATGGAAAAGCTTTGAATTGGCCTTGAAAATTATGGAACTATTGTTCCACTGTGTTTTAGTTGCATGTCACTATAAAAGGTATTGTTGTTATGTCTTAAATCTATCTAGTGACTTGCTTACACTGCCTCCTTAGATTCACTGATTTTCTTCACAAAACTGCTGGAAATAGTGTACTATTTCTTTCTGTTTAACTGCTTTCTCTTACGTATTTGAACTACTATACACTTTTCTGTGCAACTTATTTTTGTAAAGTAAAATCATTGTTTCCTGTTTATTTTTGGAGCATATAATATATATATTGCTTGAATTATCGCTACCCGTTTTATAGAAAGTTAAATGCATTGGTATTTAAAAACTCTCCTAACCTGCATGCTTTCTTACCTTAGCACTAAAGCTAATTAAGGTTGAGTTAATGTTTTTATAATATATGCATTAAAATAAGCTCATACATTGGTATTTTAAATAGGTATGTGTGTTATTTTCAACAGAAATACGTAATGAAGCCAGTGATGATTTGTTTGTTTGTAGTTAAGCACAAAGCAAAACAATGGGCTATCTGTGCTCTGCCCACCACAGATATCGAAACCTGGTTTTTAGCATTGTAAGTCTGCAGACATACCGCTGTGCTACTGGGGGGCACCAGTAATGAACAGAGCCTCTGAATAAAGGAGAGAGTGCTGATATTTAAACTGAGGCCTGATATCAATGTTCTCAGTTCTGCTGTCTCTTTGTTAATATTAAAAAAGCTTGACATCCAATATAGGTAGATGGTGATTTCAAGAAATTTGGCTTACCAGAGATAAAGGTAGCTTTGTCAACATTTTCAAGATAGTTACAGTGTGTGCACATTGCAAAGCTTGCAGAAATAACTATTGTATGCAGCATGAGAGAATCTGTAATTTGGAATCATATGGAAAGTGAAAAACAACAATACTGGCTCTTAAACAAATGGAGTCTGTAATTGGATCAGTTGCAATACTTCTCAGTGGCAAGGTGAAACCAGCTACTATTGTGTCATCAAGAGTGCCATAAACACAATGTCAACACCAGGCATTTCCAAACAGCTAGCTAGGCTAGCCCTTTCCAGCCTGGTATCTCACATTTTTACAGGGGGTATAAGTAATGACAACACCTGGTGTCAAAAAAGCTGTCTGATTACACCCATTAAATAATGTAGAAGATGAAGTTATAATTTAAATGTTCATACTTCAAGTGTTCTCTTTATGCATGCTTTATTAACGTTAGTTTTTGGATAAGATAGTTACAAAAAAATCAAAACTACTAGCCTTAATTTAAAGCAATGTGATGGTAACACAACAAAACTTCCACCAATCAGTTCTGATACCGAGAGCAAAATAGGTCATCATTAATCTTGTATGCTACTTTCAAATATATAACAACTGATAAAAATTGTGGCCTTAAAAAAGAACATCTATACAGAAATTGAGATCAACATTTCACTCATCGTCACTCTACCTGTACATTCTAGTCCAGTAGCTTATTTGACCCCATTACTACTCCAAAGGACTGGGCCACAGCTCTGTATGGGTTGCCATATTCATGTTTTGATATGTTCTGTCTCACGCTGAAAAGTCTGAACTCTAGACCGAAGAACAGGTAGGTAGGGAAATTATTGTTGACAGAATCCACAATTGGAAGAAACTTCAAGATTCTCTGTGAAAAGAGACATTGTGGCATTAACTGCCACTATTTTCCCTTAATGGCTGATTTTTCTATTCCTTTGGGTATGGTACAATTGATTCACTTCTCCAGACGAGTGAATCACTGGTCTTTTCCATATGATTTTTGATTGGTGACTTTAACTGTATATTAACAAAAACCAAAAAAGACCATAAGAAGTCATCATGGCAACAACCAAGATCAGAATCACTCACTCTGTGTCAGAAGTGAAACCAAAACTGGAAATGTCATTTTGGTACCAGATGTTATATACATGAATACTCTACCCATAACAGGTTTGCTGACATAGTGATTAGGGCTAGAGTTTGTGTACCAAAATCAGCAGATGGAACTTACAAAGATAACTGAATGTCTTAGAGACCTAAGTTGACCATCTGTCCATAGATACAAGTTTCTGAGAGCAAAGACCTCAAGAAGGACATTATCAAGAAGACCTCTCTATTTATAAATAAATCTTGTCTGTGCCAGAAATTCCTTATAGTGAAAACCATATGGGGTATCCTCTGAACCACCATACACCATCATCTACAGTGATTTTGGAGTTGGTGATGTACCCACCTACCTACCCACTCAGTTTCTGAAGCTACTAAAATCATATAACCCAAGTTACTAATAGTTTAATATTGTATGATTTTGTATTGTTTATACAAGAACATCTGCTGTTGTAATTAAAGATGAGGTGGGAATGGCAGCTTTCTATGAAGTTCCTCCAGCATACGTAGAAGTATACAATATCTAAAAGGAGTTCAGAATTAAGTTTTATACATTAAACAGAGTAAAATAATTACCATCTATTTATATTAGTTTTCAATGCTTTAGACAATACTGACTGCAACTAGTACATGAAATCATTAGGTACATATAGTACTGATGCCTTATAAGCATGCACGGAAATTGCTTTCAGATCAGTGGTGAAAATTCCATCTCATGCTTCCAGATAGTGCCATTACAAAGGCCTTCACATATGAAGAGATTAAGCAACAGTTGGCAAATCAAATATATGGACTTAGAAGTTGGTTTGTTTGAAGAACTATACATACCTGGATGAGCACAAGAGATGCGAGAAAAATTAAAGCATAACACTCAAGAAAAAATCGATTGAGAAAGATGTACATGCTCTTGAGAAATAGCTGACAAATTGGCTTTGAAGGCTGACCTGAATTGCAAAATCAAACAGTTTGTGCTGATTTGCTAAGGTAAAATCTGCAACCTGTAAAAGAATAACTGGACAAAACAATCAAAGAACTTAAAACATGTAAAAAAACAACAACACACATTCAAATGTAATGTCAAATTAGAATTTTCTCCACTCATTATTGGTCATGTCTGCATGGAAGTACATATAAAAAAGAAAAGAACACATGTTCTAATTTGATCTTCTACATGTTGTCCTAAAATGAAAATGAAGACAGCTAGTAGGTAGGAGGGTTGTAATTGTACGTGATTATCAGGGTTTGTATATTTATGCAGTTGTAAAGCTTAACACATGAAAAAAACAGTATACAATACATAAATGGACACAAAATACAGTATTTATCACATTAAAAGAATGTGCATTTTGATTTAAATTTAACACAAACGTCTCATACAAATCGGTGCAATCCAAAATGTAAGAACTCAAAAAGGTTCATTAACATATATTGTGTCAACCATAAAAAGTAATATATAAATACTTCTGTTTGTTGTCTTCAGTGTATTTTCAATAATGTTTTGCAGTGCCGAACTAAGCCTTGTTACCAATACTGTTGATTTTGTGCCACAACTGACTCTTTCTTAGTGTTTTCAACAATGAGATGTTTGTTGATGGAGAAGCCCCATTCCAATGTTGTCTGTCTATGTAAAAGGATAAGAATCATCTTGGCTACTACCCAAACCTTCTAAAACTCTCCTTTTCCATTCATCAGAGTTCATACAGTTTGTTCAAAGAAGAATTCCATGACTTTGCTTAATTACAAGCTTCCAACCTATCAACAATCTCATTTCATTTCTTACAAGGCCTACATCAGATTAGAATGTGTGCCTTTTTTTTGTTCTTTCTTTTTATATTAATGATGACTGTGATTATGTAAAACTAAATAAACACAAACTACAAGCATGCTACGCTGTCGTGTCAAATCTTTAAATGCTTGGATTCTAGAATGTTTGTTGAATTAGGTTGTAAATGAGGTAGAAAAAATAAGGAAAGGCTAATATATTATTATTATTTCATACTACTAATTATCTCAAACTTAATCATGCTCCGATTTAAAATTTCAATGATTAACACCTGCAAGCCAACATGATGGGAGACTTACTATTTCTTTACGTAAAACATCAGGTAAAAGATTTAGATAATGAATTATTAATGGTTAAAATTTACAGTTTTACTTGTTACAACATAACTAAATAATACTGGAAAATATTACAAGAGAAGCAATTAAATCTTATCATTATAAAAACTTGTGTAAACAAAATGGAGTTGTTTGAGGATAGATAAGCTTTTAGTTGGAAAGAAGTTGTGTACTTTCAACCAAAAAAAAAGTATAATAACTGGATTTCTTTTAAAGTTAGGACCCCATAAAGCTATGTTTTTGACATACATACATATATATATATATATATTTATGGAGTGCTTCGCATTCAGTTTAAAAATTTAATTACATAACCAGGGCTTAGAGCATCATACTTGCATAAAAAGAGCATTTTGATAATTACAACAAGGTGTATATATGAAATACTTACAACTAATTTTACAAGTTATTTAATAATTTTTAAATATGACAAATTAGGGTAAAATGAAGCAGCCAGCTGCTTAATCAGTAGAGTTCCGTCACGTAGGTTATTCTTTGCATCAAGAATAAAGCTAACCATCATGTTAAGCTCTGCTTTCACTGGAAGATACTGTTTGTTGTTACGCAAACCTTCGAGCAGAGAGAGAGAGTTTGCTGCTTGACTGGAGGGTTTACCACCATTACCTGGTGGAAGTCGAGGGTGACCTGGAGCATACTCTGTGAGTCGAATGGGTGCATTTACAGGTAACTGTAGTAGAAGAAACACAGCCAGTGTGCGACACATAAAACGATACCTGTAGGAAATAAGAAGACACTGAAAATTTTTGCATTATTACTACTCAACGAAAAACAATAAAAATGCAATGATTTTGCAATGCATACCATATTTAATGTATACATTTTGTGGTTAGAATACTGACCTCTGTTTGCTGTATTACTAAATTCACACGTGATTATTTCTTTTCTTCTCTTTGTTTTTATGTATTTGAGCTGGCTTGGCATACTTTTAAAACTAAGTGATCCAGAAATAATGATAGAGGGGAAAAAAAAAGATTTAAAAAATAATAAATCGTTTGGAAATTGTCATGTTATTTATCATCACTGCTTCTTTTACTGACTGCCTGTTGACAGATTACTGTTAATTGAGCAGTAACTTGCACACACATTTCTTCATAATGATCCACTTAATGTGGACAGGGCTAAGATGATTATGATATAGATATTTATATTTGCAAATGATAACTTTGAACTTAGATTTAACTTAAATATGTGTACTTGAAACTTTCTTTTACTACCTCAAAGAAAAAGATGATTTTCTTCCAAATCCTACAACTCCTAAAATCCCTGTGGATGATCTGTCCTCTCCAAGAACCAGAAGACTTGTGGAGAAGTTGGCCAGAAACCTTCCTACAAACTAATACAATACAATAATTATACACAAAATTATATAAGAACTACCATTATGATAATGTTTTACAGGGATAACTATCATTGGAGTGTGGAGCTGGAAACAGATTCCCACTTAGTTAGAAAAAGAGAGAAAAAAAACCTTATTTTTCTGTGAGAGAGCTACTAGGAAAATAAAACTTTTTACATTAATTCTTTTTAAGAAACAATTCTTTTACATTTAACTTGAAGAATCATATATGGAATTAAGACAAAAGAAGAAAAAAAAATTAAACATACAAAATTGGCTTACAACCATAATATGACAATTTTGTATCTTAGCTTTTAAAAAAAAGATGTTATTTATGTTAATAAAGAGGATTTGCATCAGTTTTGACTACTTAATTGAACAGAAACTGTACAAATTAAAAGCTCAATTAAGACTAATATGTTCAAACTAAAAGGACAGAAATTAATTATCTGTTTATTGGTTGAAGCTCCCGAAATCGCACTTAATTCTGCAAATTAAAAACACATAACCTGTTTACTAGGCTATAGAAATGAGCTTAGAGGTATCAATTTCACTTGCAATAAAAGATTAAGGTAAGATCACTTAAAAAGTTTTCTTCGAGATCAACTTCTATTGATTAACTAAATCAACTAGTCCCTAAATAATTTATCTTTGTAGGGTATTATTTGGAATAATCTTATTACTTAATGTCTAAAAATAATTGGGGGTGTGTTCCTACACTGTTCAGTTTTGTTTGTAATAAAGCACAAAGCTACACAATGGGCTGTCTGTGCTCTGCCCACCATGGGTATCGTAACCCGGATTCTAACGTTGTAAGTCCGCAGACATATCGCTGTGCCACTGTTCAGTAAAAATGAGTAAAGCTTGTGGCAAGACAAGAGGAGAGTGGTTAGAACAAAAGTTATAAAATGATACAATATTAGTATTATATGTAATTGTTTTATTTTTTATATTCTGTTGGGAAAAAAATTCTATGTTTTTGAATTCTTTTTTTTACTGGCAAACAAACTAGTGTTTTTTAAAGTATTAATTTTGTAACGTAAAAAAAACAGACAACAATCACAAACTGGGATATACCACAACTATCCAACAAAAAGAAAAAAAAGGACTAATTTGCTTGTTCTTTGTCACAGATATTTTTAACTAAGCATCGTATGGCATGTTAAATCAGTGCCTAGATGCATACTTCTCTAACACATTAAATACTTGTAGCTAAAAATCAAACCTAAATGTACAAAGAAAGACTCGTGTTTAAATTTTTGAAAAACAATTACATTTGATAGTCCACAACAAATGGTGATTTTGTTTTGGAAAATCTTCTATCTAAACATCTGAAATATTACATCACATTTTTTCATTGGCACATAAGACATGTCTTTGTTAAAACATATTCAAATTCTAACCAACAGACAATGTCTGAATAACATAAAATGTGATGTTAACTTGAAGCAGTTCTACTTGTTGATAAAAAGAACAAGTTCCAGATGAATGCTAGGTCAGAACCAAACCTTAAAGAAAAATTAAACTTATTATAGAACAATTTGTATTCAGGTATAACTAACTTATTACAAAAGAAGTAATCAGAAAGTACCAATGGTATTTGGTGTCAGTGTTATCAACTATTAATTTTATTCTACAATGCTGATTTAGTGACAGTTCATGGTAAAGGAGAGTAAATACCAGGAACAATATACAAGAATACTGCAAAAAAATGTAGATATGCATTTCAGAGGTTATGCAAATACAATATTCAAACATAAACATAAAAACCTGTTAGTTTGGGTTTCTGCCTTTATTTTTTTTATTTTGTGAAATTTTTTGTGCAACAGTCCCAATCAGTTTTATGGCAAAAATAATATAAGAAATAAAGAAGGTTTAGTGCAAAAAAGCATGCTTACATTGGCAATGGCTTTAAAATTTTTAATTAAAGATGCTTGACTAGGAAGGAGAATTGTAGTTTATTATTAGCTTTACTAGCAAGGAGAACCACAGTTTATTATTAGTTTGGCTAGCAAGGAGAACCACAGTTTATTATTAGCTTTACTAGCAAGGAGAACCACAGTTTATTATTAGCTTGCCTAGAATGGAGAACCATAGTTTATTAGTTTGGCTAGGAAGGAGAACCACAGTTTGTTATTACTTTGCCTAGGAAGGAGAACCACAGTTTATTATTAGTTTGGCTAGGAAGGAGAACCACAGTTTATTATTACTTTGGCTAGGAAGGAGAACTACAGTTTATTATTAGCTTGCCTAGGATGG